CGCTTGCGCTTTACATCATACAAACTTATAAATTGCATTACTTGATTCGTCTAGTGGATTAAAAATTCACTCAAAAGCAAAAGGCCAATTTATAAAAAGAGCGTACTTTAAATTTAAATTAGCTTAAGGTGCACGTTAAAGAATAAATTTTAAAAAGAGCAAATTCGAAACATAATTATTCGATTTCAATAGAAACCAGAACTTCACCGTAATATAAAGAAACCTATTTGAGAAGAAACCGTAATATAAAATCACGGTTTCTAAAGAAACCAGATTAATACCGGAATTCATTAATCCGGTTTCCTAAGAAACCTATTTATATTATATTATTTTGCATTAATCCGGTTTCCTAACAAACCGGTCCTAACAAACCGGTTTATATTATTTGGCTTTATTCCGGTTTCCTAAGAAAGCTATTTAATTATATATTTTTTACAAAGGTTTTTTAATATAATTTTTTATAAAAAAAATTAAACATATTAATTATATTAAAAGTTATTAAATATTAACATTTTTATCTTAAATAATTGATAATCTAAAAATAATATTGAATATAAATGTAAAATTTAAAAAGTATTTTATATAAAGTAAAAAACGGTTTCTTAAGAAACCTGATGATGTAAATCTGGTTTAATTTTCGGTTTGTAGAAACCGGATTTCAATGCTCCGATTTCACTCCTTTTTAAATTATTTTTTGAACATGACTTATCTGCATATTTATGTATTAAGCATGCTCCTTTTTATAGTTTGGCCAAAGCAAAAATGTAGCCAATCTTGTTAAGCTCACATAACTTATTTTTGAATTACTTGATTTTTAATTTATTATAAATACAGATTTATTTTGTTAATAATATTTATATTTATATTTATATTTATATTTAATTACAAACTATATAACATTGACTTTTTTATCTATTTCTTATACTAATTATAGATGATCTAATAGAGTACGTTATAATATGAATCTAGTATATGATCTATAAGTTTAATTTACTGTTTAAGTTTTATAATGTGAATTAGCAATGTATTATATTAAATTTAAAAGTTTATACGTGCACAAAATTTGCACTTTCATGCCTTAACAATTTAATACTATGAAAGCTTATGAAATGAGGAGATAATGCATTTTTGCACAATTAGAATAGATAAAATTCGTATAAATCAAAATCATTAAATCAAAAGTAAGAGATTAGTCACTTACAATAAATAGAACAAAATCTATAACAAGAATGTCTGACAAATATGATTCAAGAACCTTCTTCACTCCTCTCTCTTCTTCTACTATTCGATTTCTTCTTGGCCAAGTAACCAAGTGAGGGGGTAGGCAAAGTGAGGCATGGATATTTATAATTTATTATTTATTTAAACTGTTTATGGCCTAGCGCCATAACGCTGATCAGATCAGTGCAAAACACTTTATTTCAAAATTTTTATATATTTCAAATAAATTTATTTCACATATTTGAATTCTTTCAGAAAAATACATGAGGAACAAAAAAGATATCTAATTGCTTGTTTGAATACCTGAAACATTAAGATGACAGAGTATATCATAGAAGCCTCCAAAATATTGCTTGAGAATACATCGAAAATACTTCTTACCTATGCATCATACTCATGCTAGAAGGTGGTTTCCATAAAAGGGCATTATATTTGATTTTATCATATAAGGAAACATTTTAAGAATTATTAAATAAATTAATAAAATATTAACAATCATTCCCATTTAACTTTATATTGTGGAAATATCTAAATTTTCTTTGTCTACTATTCTTCAAGCTAACATTCTATGCTCCCAATGAATAAATACTAAAAGTTTACCTATCACAAAAATTTTGTGCCTCAAATATGTTTTTCTTCTCATCTTTCATGCTTTAATAAAAAATATGATATATTCATTCATATCTTAAAATCCTGTATATATGACGTTCATGATTGTTTTTCTTTAATTTCTTGATCTTATTTAGGAACAATTCTTGCGGCTCGTAAGCCACCTTTTTTTTTTCTTTTCCCTAAGATATGAGACTCCAACATGAACAAAAACTTTTCCTTAGTTGTTTTTCAAGACATTTATAAAGGATAAATACACCATTGAAAAAGTATTGGCTCTTTATAGTTTGAAAATCAAAAATACCAATCTCAAACTTTATGAATATGATATTTTAAATCCTCACTTTGATACCAAATTGTTATGATGATAGTGTTGAAAGATAAGAGGATGCAGCATAAAGAAATAAAGAAATCTTAATATAAAAGAGAAAATACACCACCTAAGTCATCAAATCTACACTTTTTTTACTTCAATCATACCACATCCACAACAAAGGAGAAATGATCTCATATACTAAGTGTAAATAGAATGTATAAATTGAAAGAACACTTTTTATCTCACTATAAAGATAACCTCACATAAAGCCTTCTTTCTCCTTAAATTGATTTAAGTTTGCAAAATTCATTAAAACTCCTAACCATTGAGAATGTGTGAAAGAAATGAGAGAGATCTTCATTACTTGTCCAAAAGTATTTTATGTAAGTATCTAAAGCATGGCATGAGAGATCCTACTAGAGACTACCCATAAAATCGATGACCTCCTTGCACACAAATCAAGAATTAAAGAATATGTGCATGGATCAGGATGGTGATTAGTATCTTAGAAATTCAAATTTCTTTGATCATATAAGGAAAGATTATGAAAATATGCAAACAAATCAAGTCTAATTTAATAATTCTCCACCTTGTTTTAATACTATGAAGAAGATTAGGCACCAATATATTTATAATTCTTAACTTAGCACTCTCATGCCTAAACAATTTTCTCAACAAAAAACATTTTAATCCAATCAAATACATTCATTTAGACCCCCTTAGTCTAATAGATCCATAGAGTACCATGTTTTGAATTTTGCCTGTCCATATTAGAAGCGGCCAACATTCATTTAAGTCGTAATTAAAAGTATGAACCATTTAATCTTAGCTTGTCCATCAACTTTAATAACACTTATTAAGGAGGACCAAAGTCAAGTTAGATAAACAAATGAACAAATGCATTTTTAGTTGAAAAATTTAAGCTTATCAATGAGGGCCAAGAAATTGGTACTTCAATGCCAGTACACTTTTTCAATTATTCAATATGGGGCTAAATCCAATTTCCTCATACACCTTAACAATCTTCCCCTCAAGTAAAATCTTTCTACATCAACCAACATTGTTCCTCAAATAAAAGTTTTAAAATACTATAAATTTTTGTACATCGAGATCTTACCCTACCATGAACATTCATTGTGAGAGTACGTCAACTTTTAACTTTTTCTTATCTATGATAGAAGGCATGGACGGAACCCCATTGGCAATTTATTTACCCTTCTCCCATTTTTTTTTTTTAAATTATATGGTTTTTAGGTAATTTATTTCTCTTCATCCATTTTTTAGTCTTTATTATAAGGTTTTTTGGCAATTGCCCCCCCTAAAATTTTTAAAATACTATGATCTTTAGGTAATTGCCCCTAACAAGTCGAACCCCGCCATGGGACGTTGCCCCCTTGGACCCCCGACATATATGCCTTATAAATTTGCCCCCTCTGAAAATTTGGGCTGGTTCCGCCCCTGATAGAAGGGTCTAAGACCCATGAGTGGCACAAATCTTATGAACTATTTGATTCCAACCTAACTTTTTTACTATGATACCACTTATTAAAGAGTGCAAAGCAAGGAATTTGAAGATGTCTTAAATATATATGTAAGTGGTTGAACTCATTTTCAACCCAAAAGCTAAAGTTTATGGGTGAGGGCTAACTACTTCATATTTCTATTTCGTTGCACGCTAGAATATCATAGTTTTCTATGTAGATGTGGCAAACACATTGTTCAAATAAGGTCTCAAATGGAATATTATAATTTAGTAGTTTAGTTATTCTCTATTTCGTTTTTAAGCATATTTTAGGTAAATTATTAATTTTGTAATTTTTTTTTAAAATTTAAGGTAATTATTTGATTAATATATCATTCTTTTTTTAATTATTTACTTAATGTTTCATAATAGATTCACTCTTTATTTTCTAATTTATTTATTTTAATATTCAGCTATAATTTTTTAATCCTTTTCAAAAAATTTAATTAATGTTTTTTCTTATCATTTTGAGTGTTAATTTTGATTAAATGGGTGTTTGTCAATTTTAAAAATTTTAGCAAAATTTATGATAAATTTTACATAAATAATATAAGCAAATTTATCTATTTCTCTTTCTCCTCTCTCTATATTTCTCTTTTGTCTTTTTTTTTATTCCTCTCTCACACTCCATCTTGAATAATTTTGATCTCAGGATCACTACCCATTTTTTAATGTGTTCACAAGCTTTTATTTCGATGTTGAGAAATAGCATGTAAATTTGTCTAGTCGAGATCGAGTAATTCTTTGTCTTGAGCTTGAGCTTGATTAATTCACAAAGCTTGAGCTTTATTTTACAAGTTCTAGCCGACTTTATTTTCGAAAAGAGAAAATGAATGTACACTACAAGAAAATCATGTATTACCAGTAGCGGTGTCAATTTTTGACACGACACGAAACATGACCCGAACCCGACCCGGAAAAATCCGGGTTCGGGTCAACCCAAACCCGAAACAGGTCGGGTTCGGGTTCATGAAATCAACCCATTTTTTTTTGCCCCCCCTAAAAAATTCTTTTGTCCTCTTTTGCCCTAACTTGCCCTAAAATATCTATATATTTCTTCACATTTAGTTCTAATATTCTCTTTCATGCTTTTAATAACAGTTTAATTACACATTTTTTCTTAATTTTAAAAAATATAATTATAAATAATTTATAAACTTTAAAAAATATTTTAATTTTTTAATGTTAATTTTTTAACGTTTTTAAAGAGTAATTTTTTTTAAACATTTTCTATAAAAAAACGCGTAAAATATTTAGATTAAAAAAACGTCAAATATTTTGACGCTAGTTACTTTTTTTTTTTCTTTTTGATAATTACGTTCTTTGCTTAGTGATAAATGGTGATCCGCCTTCTCCGTCCCCCACATCTCAGGCAGAAAACATTACTCCAATGGCTGAAATCCCGTTGAAGATGAAGGCATGGGTTTATGAAGAGTACGGGGATGTTAGTGTCTTGAGGTTAGATGAGGGGATTTCTGTGCCGGAGATTAAGGAGGACCAAGTGCTTGTCAAGGTTGTGGCTGCGGCACTAAACCCTGTGGATTTCAAGAGGCGGCAGGGGCGATTTAAGGCCACTGATTCTCCGTTACCTGTAAGTTCATCATATTTGTACTCTCCGTTTGCTCTTTTTCGAATTTAGTTCAAGTTTTGTTAGTTTTTTTATACATGTTGCATGGTTGTGTAGGGGAAGACTGGTTCGAGGAGAAATATATAAAAAGTTTGAAACTTTTCTGAGTTTTTTTGTTTCAGAATTTCATGCGGGAATCGGGTTCTTAATTCCTTTATCCGTTATTTGTGAAACCATTTTTTCCCCCTTTTTAGATTTTGGTTGTTTGGGGGATAGAAGGATTTGGATTTTAACTTCATCAGATGTAATTTGGGCACATCGAACATGGCTTGATTGAGTTTTTTTTTTTACTATTTCTTTGATTCCAGCTTCCATGCGCTGGACGCTGGAGAATGATGGCTTTTTCAGAAGTCTGTGATGGTTTTTGAGAAGTTTGGAGGGTATTGATTTCAGTTGCATGATTTAGGAAATTTAGCACATGGAAACTGATTGAATATAGAACATACAGTCCGATTTTCTTCTAGAAAAAATGATTTTGTTAGGTTGTTTTTTATTTTTCCGTGAGGTTGAATATAACCAAATGTCCGAATGAATAAACCTTTTTGTTTTTAGTCATAAATTTTGTTAAAGGAGATTATAAATATTAGCTTCGATATTTCTTCCAGTCAATTTTATGATGTTTTAGTTAATTTATCAATATCTTCTCTCTAACCAATTATTTCCTTTTGTCGTCATTTCTAGACTGTTCCAGGATATGATGTGGCTGGTGTAGTTGTGAAGGTGGGCAGTCAAGTGAAGAACCTAAAGGAAGGAGATGAAGTATATGGAGATATCAATGAGAAAGCTTTGCAGAGTCCTAAGCAGTTTGGATCACTTGCTGAATACACTGCTGTTGAAGAGAAAGTGCTGGCCATAAAACCCAATAATCTGGACTTTGCATCAGCTGCTGGAATACCTCTAGCTATTGAGACAGCACATGAAGGCTTGGAGAGAGCTGGGTTCTCTGCTGGTAAATCTATTCTTGTATTAGGTGGTGCAGGTGGAGTTGGATCCTTGGTGATTCAGGTAATTTTCTATAAGCATCTTTGATGGGATAAAAAAAACGGTACTCGATAACTATGATGGCTTGCTTTTCTTATCTCAATCCTTTTTTGCTAGCAAGATATGGTTGTTTACTGATACATCTACTAGCGAATGAGACTTGATTACTAATCAAATATTTCATGATCACTATGAAAAATTTTGTCATTGACTATTGGAAGTTTAATATCCATTAATGTTTTTTGCTAATAGTTGTTACTATAGTTTCTTTCCATGTTCTTTTAGAAACTATGTTACTTTCAGAACAAATAGAAAGCAGCTAATCTAGATCTTCATATTGTGGTAAGTTTCTATGGGTGTTGTTTTGAAATCTATTTTCTTTTATAGCTGGCCAAGCATGTTTATGGGGCATCAAGAGTTGCTGCCACTTCAAGCACTAGTAAGTTGGAGCTATTGAAGAGTTTGGGAGCTGATTTAGCAATTGACTATACCAAGGAAAACTTGAATGAGCTGCCAGAAAAATTTGATGTAGTATATGATACTGTTGGTAAGATCCTTTGTTACATCTCTATCCATCCTTAGCTTTATCTCAAGTATTAGGTGATTTTATGAATGCTATTCTAGTCAATTTTCTTTAAAATTACTCTTTTATCCAGAAACTTATTTTAGTGCAAGAATGATGGCGACACTAGTAGTAGATGTTTTCTTTTTTTTTTATTTTTTTATTTTTTTTTGCTTGCAAAAGCAAAGAGACTATTTTGATTATAAAGTACTAGTATGTGGAATACACCTAGAGGACTTACAAATCATATCAAAGAAGAGTATGCATGAAAATATGAGATGGGATGTGCAGTAGTAACTAGTTTTAGTTTGAGCCTTTGACAAACATTGGCATCAGCCGTATCCGAAACTGTTTGAGATAGTTTCATTAGTCCTTCATTGTTCTTGTTGAGTGCTTGGTGATGGTCAAGTTCAAATTAGCTACTTTCGAAGAAACCCCATCATAGTCATTCCTGAATTATTCCTACCTATAGGTGCTTCAAGCATATTGGAGGACATGGGAATTAGTGAAAAACTTTTGTATGTTTTATCATATCAAGAGTATTGAAAAAAAAAATATCTATTTTGAATTTCATGAATAAAATTATGTAGTATGTTCTATTTTTATGAAAAATATTCTTATCATATCGATAATGGATTTGGTTTAATCAATGTTATTCATTTTATTTGTTCTATTGCATGAAGTCAACTTTTTTGTTTCCAATCACATGTTCATCTAAAAATTCTTCGTCCTCCCAAGTTGGTTGCAATTTTCAGATACATGATTAACTCGACACCGTTAACCGTTAATATTTGCCATCCAGTTGAAATGATAATTCCTATTGATTGTCATTTGGGGATGAGGCATATTCAACATTGCGAGTGGGTTATCATGATCTAAAGGCCCCGTACTATGGCTCTATGATCAAGCTCTTTCTACCATGACCTTCTTTACTTAAAGATCACATTATACTTGCAACATGTATGATGAACTTGGGAATATCCATGTTGATGCTTGCTTGCAAACTCACCATTATATGTATCAACTTCTTTTATTTGCAAGACAATCATATTCGCTCAGATGATTCATATATACATTAACCATCATCATCTTTATATAATTCATGAGATGTTCTTTTGAATGAATTTGAATGATCATAATATTTGACATCTTCACTTAGATCATGATTTTATCAATTTAAAGTCCAATACTCCATTATTTGTTCGAATTTAAGTCCTTTATTCAAGCTTGTAGGTATTCTATGTCATATGAAAATGACTTAGATTGTGCATATTAGATTTACTTAATGGCATTTGCCTTCTAATTGAAATGATGATTCCTTGATATTCATTGAAGACTTTGTATTATTCAGTGTAAACATGTCATAGCATTTTCCACTTGATCTTTATTTGTATGATTAAAGTTTTCATCTTATCAAATTACAATGTCAATTTTCATTTTGTCCTTCATTTGCTCAATGTAAAGTTCAAATTTACTTGAGTTTTGCTCAATTAGTGTTCAAAATGAGTTTAAGTTTGAGTCTAAGTTCAAATACAAGTTTGATTTTGAGTTTAATTTAAGTCTTTACTTTTGGTTATTCAGGTTTGCATCTAACTTATTTAATGCTCGAATTGAATTTAAATGACGTCCCTTATTTTGTTCTTCTGAGTTCAAATCGGGTCCCCTGTTTGTTCAAGTCCTCTGTATCTTCATTCAGAATTTTGGCAGCCTCCCGGCATCTCCCCTGTTTAGGGGAAAACTATGAGAGTCTGTGCCTTCTTACCACGCACAATAAAGACATGTATGGTAGGTGTCCTTAGAATCTACGGTCGTGTCTTCATTCCCACCACGCTAATAAAAGCGTGTATGAGGCGAGAGTACCTATTTGAAAACACAGTTGTTTTCTCGCGTATGGGTACTTATAGGTAACCCCGCCTCACTGTAGGCGTCGTACCGGGTTCCCACCCCACCACGTGTAATAAAGGCGTGTATAGGCAGTTTTTCAGTGCGTCACGAACGCTGAAATGAGGCTTTTGGATCACCTACTTTGTTGCTAGCATTGCGACACACTTCCTCCCACCACGCTAATAAAAGCGTATATAGGTGGTTGTTTTTGTCGCGTTGCAAGCGTCGAAGGGGCCTCTCAGAGTTTTGAGTTTAGGGGGATTATACCTTCAATGTGGTGGTGGCACAAGGTGGCACACAAATCGAGACGAGAGAAACATGTTTATTTATAATTAATAACTAATTATAAATTATTTTTGTTTAATCTACAATTAATCATAAACTAAATATAATTAATTATAATATAATTAATTATATTTAGTTTAAAATTAATTATATATTGATTAGATTTATTTTATAATTAAGTAAATAATAAATTATAATTAATTCTATTAATCTATAATTAATTATATTTAGTTTAAAATTAATCATTAATTAATTGGATTTAATTTATGTTTAATTAAAAACTAATTATAATTAATTATATTTTAATCTATAATTAATTATATTAATTTAAAATTAATTATAAATAAATCATTTTAACTTATAATTTATAATAAACTAATTATAATTAATCATATTTAATTAATTATATTTAGTTTAAAATTAATTATAAATCAAAATTTGAGCAAAATTTAAGCCTAATATTTTTAAACAGAGTGAAACTCTCTGTTAATGAGTTATAATTAATTATAATTAATTATGATTAACCAATTAAAATAATTATGATTAGCTAATTAATTATAATTACTTAATGTCAATTATAATTAATTTTGAAAAGAAGAAAAAAAAAGAAAGGTGCATTTCCTCCGACCTTGATCCATGTGCTACTAAACCCCGCGAAGGTACGAATTTTTTTAAACTTAGATTCTCACCCTCGTCGTTTGCGGCGGACCGAAAAACCGTCCATACACGCCTTTATTATGCGTGGTGGGATGGGACCCCGGTGCGACGCCTACGATGAGACAGGTAATCGCCTAAAGCCCTACTTCAATGTTCGTGGCGCACCGGAAAATCACTCATACACGCCTTTATTACCATGATGGGATGGGACCCCGGTGCGGCGCCTACGGCGAGGCGGGGTTACTTTTAAGTACCCTCAAGCGAGGGGAAAGCAAACCACATTTTCAAACAGGTATCCTCGAAGACCCCATACACGTCTTTATTGCGCGTGGTGGGAATGAAGATCACGGCCGCGATGTCCTCGTCCGAGGACACCTACCATACACGCCTTTATTGCATGTGGTGGAAAGGCCCAGTTTCTCGTAGCTTTCCCCTAAACGGGGAGACGTCGGGAGGCTGCTGAAATTTTAGATGAATATGAGACTGTACCTGGACTTGATTGAACACGAGCAGATGACCTATGAACATGAATTGGACTTGTGGATTTGTACTCGAATGAACTAAATAGAGAACTCATCTTGGACTCAAATGGACTTTAATCAAATAATATGAACTTAATTAAGATGAGTAAACAACAAGAAACTTGGATCCAAAATGGACAGTACTTTAAATAAATTTGAACATGAAATGGATTTGGCATGAACTTGACTCAAACTTGAACTATACTTAAACTTGAACTCATGTTGGACTTGAACATGAATAAAATTTTAACTCAGATTACAAATCCTGGACTTGATTTGAACATGATTTGATCAATAAGAAGGCTCGAAGTGAATTTGAACTAAAATTGGATGCAAATAACAAATGAACTTAGCTTCATTTCACTCTAAGTGGACCATGATTTGAACGCTATGAACTCAAATCAGACGAACAACAGGAGATAAGCGAACTTGAATCTGATCACAAGAAAACTTGAACTTATATGGACTACAGGAAGTTCATGCAAATTGAGCTTGAATTTGAACTTACACTAGGAATATATATGAAACTTGTAAACCAAGGGACTTATGCTCTAAAAGGCATAATTTGATGATTTAACGGTGTAAGCTCTCAACAAAAATAATAATTTACCTGCGATCATATACAAGGAATGTAATATGTTAGTGAGCAACATTAGAAGAACTATAATGAACAGAAACACTTATGATGCGCAAGAATGCAATCATTACTTGATTGGCAAGTAATCATCAACAAGGATCAAAGACATGTGATCAACTTGCAAACATTGATCAATGAAAACCAAAGAGAATGCTACAATACAAGTGTAGATGATCATACAAATTTTCCAACAAATGATATTGCTGACTCATGCAATTGATTGACTTGAAACAATTGCAGTGGCCCTAAGGAGATGTGATGAATTCCATAATAACTAATATATATATGCAGACATTCGAGTGAAGTTTGCAAGTAATGAAGATTGAAGGAGAGATGTGGTTGATTGAAAGCAAATATCAACGGTACAAGTTCGCCACACAAATAGCAAGTTATTTTCAAGGGAGAAACAATACGTGGTGAATGTACAATACGTGGTGAATGTATTGAACTCCTAAAACAAGTTACCTACAAATATAAAGAGTAAGGTCTGTGCTAAATACAAGCAATCATAAGCTATCGTAGCAGAAGGCATTAAACGTTATGTCACCTTTTTGATCAGTCACTATTCAAGGTTGAGCAAATATGTTGATTCATTGCAATCAAACACCAAAAGACTTGCAACGAATGCAAATATTTATGATCAATTGCGAAGCAGGAGATTTGTTAGTGCACTATGATCTACCTATAGAAAGAAACATGTAGTGCACGACAGTCTGCCTGTACAAAGTAGCAAACTACTCAATTCAAAAGTTGTTATGTAATGCCACCGAATTCGCAACATTCATGCAAGCGAACATAAGACGTTTATAAATATTTCAAAAATACCCCCGCACATGCACCGTAATCTGTATACGCATAGGTACACAAAAGGCGTAAATGTATAATACACTCGTATGGACCCTGCCGAGCATATTATTGGTATACACGTGACGCCTAGGGATATTGCACGGGCCAATAAATTTGAACCCAATCCTCCTAGGCAGGTAAATAGGAGTCGATAAGGTTCAGCAAATAATTATAAAATGCCCCAAACACCCGCATGGGCCCCGGCAAACGTGTTATAGGTACACACGTGACATCTAGGGATGCTGCACGGGTTAATAAATGAATTCAAGTTCGAATCTGATCATTTTATGCGGATCAATAGGAGTCGACAGGGTTCGAACCATCAAACAAATATACGGTTATGACGACCGATATACTTGTTTTAATACATTCATATTAGGCTGTCAAGGCCTGTAATAATGAGAATTCACTAATGAAGGCACAAAGCCTACGAAACATGATCCCCTATCGGCAAGTCGACAGGGTCTATAAGGTTCAAGACATAAATATTCTCAAATGACCCCTTACACCCCGATGATAGCAGTGTTGAATGTTTATCTCAATCGGAGGGATTCACAAACAATTTCAAATGCCTTCAAGACTTCACCCAAATACCTACGAAAATCCCAAAATTTCAAATTCCAAAAATATTTAAAATGAAAATTCAATCATTCAACCCCTTAAAGCAAAATTCATCCACCCTCCGTAACAGTTTGCTGGGTGGACAAATTAAAATATATTTCAGCTCACATAGAGCTAATGCCTAGTTGAAAATATCACTATGATCCATTCTCAAACAGACTCCTGTCATTAAGGACGTGATAAGTGTCCTCTAACCCGCGGTTTTGCCGCAAAATGGCTCTACAGGATAAACGGTTATGACCCGGGGCCCTCTGAATCTAGTGGTTTTGCCGCCAAATGGCACCACTAAATACCGATTATGGCTAGAGCCAATACGCTCCTTAGTGACATCAAATCCTTGAGATATGAATCAATAGGATATGATCGATAGAGTATAAAGCTTTATGCTAGCTAAGGTGGATTCAAATTGTCCCCTTAGACAAACATTCCCCCCAGGTCTACAAGGTCTCCTTGGACGAAACAACTCATGACTGCCGACAAGGATCCTTCTGTCAGGTTGGGTCGACTACCTCCTCTGACTAAATAAACCAAGGACCACGATGGCCCGAGACGACGGAACCATGGGATCTTGATCGGGTTCATCGTCCATTCCCCCACCATCCGCTTTAAGTACAAGATGGTGAAATTTCTAATTTTAAATATTAAACCCATCCAATTTCCAACCATTTTTTTTAATACCCATGCTGCTACTATATGCCAGATACCACGTATCTATGGATATGATGTATTCATTAACAACTAGTCTTAATCGAAAGTTCTCTCTCATGATCGGGAGAGGTAATTAATTATAGGGGCTTGCGCCTATAGGAAACCAAAACCCATATAATAAAGTCCTCGCAAAATGAGAGCGAAAGCTCTAGGTAGTGTCTTATCTACAAACCCACTGCCTTCCAAAATTTACCCCGGAACTTAATCCGTTAAAACTCCCTCGCCGAAGAAAGAAAGCAAACAACAATCGCGGGCGGACCACAGGGAGAAGTTGGGTTCTTGCGGCTGGATCCGAAGGGTTGGAGTGAGATCTCGGCGAAGGACTATGGCAAGGGTAGAGTTCATCTTCAGGTCGTGAGCTTTGTGGCACAATGGAGGGCTTGAAGATGTCGGATGAGACTCGGTCTAGAGCAGGGAAGGTCTCGGCTGAGATGTTTAGGGTTGTGTATGAGGCGGCTTCGAGTGGTGGTTTTTGGTCGTGGGCTGAAGAGTTGGATGGCAGCAGGAGTTTCGGCTGGAGGAAGTTGGGTGGAGTTCGGTTCGGCTAGACGGGTACGAGGTAGCTATCTTCCTTTTATGATTTTTTTTTTTTATATATAAATTTCAGTAAGGGTCAACATGGAAGTCTTCACATATATGTACTAGGGCCTGAGCCACATGTCCATAACGGTCGTATATTGTATTTTCCTGCCAATTGTTATGTACACTATAGTTGTAGCTTCTCCTATAGCCCTCAAAATCAAATAAATATAGTTTCAGAGGTAATTTTTAGACATGCAGTGTATTCTATAGTAACTCTTTTATCATCTTGCATTGATGGTATAGTGCCTAGAGCTCCTCTCTCTCTCTCTCTCTCTCTCTCTTAAGGTATGCCATTCATCAGACTATAGCATGGAAATGAAGTATTTCCAGTAATTCACTGAATGCTCACAATAAGGTTGAGCACATAAGATCCTACAGGCTTTGATATAAATTTCAATATGCAGGGCTTGGCGACACCGGATCCAAAGCAGTGAAAGAAGGCGGAACTGTAGTGGGAATCGCTTATCCCGTTTCACCTCCAGGTTCTATTTTTGTCCTCACTTCTGATGGAGCTATTTTAACAAAGCTGAATCCTTTCCTGGAGAATGGAAAGATTAAGCCAATTAATGATCCAAAAGGTCCATTTCCTTTCTCAAAGGTGGTTGATGCGTTTTCTTATCTCGAGACTGGAAGGGCTATTGGAAAAGTAGTCATATATCCAATTCCATGATGATATCTGTATGTTCTCTCTGAACATATCTGTAGTATATTAAGCTCTTCTATAAATAAAATGAGGTGTGTATTCTGTAATATGCTATGTAAGAGTAATTACTGGAGCAAATTATGTGTTCCCTCTTGTGTTTTTTGCAGTTTAGTCGGTAAATGTGTCTATGAAGAAATAAAGACTTGCTGAAGTAAAGCATAAGGATGTTGTAATTGCCATTGTGTTTTGGCTTGTAGTCCTTAGGGGATATTTCTATGTTGAATGATTGATAAAATTTTCGATGCTGTGCATCACTCTTTCTTCTCGATGCTTTTAAACCTTCGTCATTAGGGCCTATTTTGAGAAAAATATTTTTTGTGGACTCCGGACTTCAATAAAATGTTGCCAAATGTGGTGTGATGATCCCACTATTTCTATTTAGTACTTTTTCCAACTTATCGTGCGGCCCAACATCCTGACTCGGATCAAATATTTTTTTCTATTTGGAATAGTTTTCTAGTTGTTTTATATTTCAGATAGTAATTATAATTTGATTTGGTTATTAATTTCTTATTGTTCTCTTTTTTTTTTTAATTATGATGAGAAATTGCTTTTTACAATCAAATTAGTTAGGCTAATTTTGTTACATAATGTCATAATCAATTTGATAAAAAATTATTATCATTCTAAACAGAATAAAATAATAGAGATAATCCATTTTGAGATTTGCTTTTCTTCTTTTAATTTTGTTTATCTCAACTTTTTTTTTTTAATTGTTGATTAAATTGAGGTTGTGTTTAGGGGATTCACTTCAAGCTTGAATTCATATAGATTGCATAAAATTTCAATTGAGTTTGTGGATTTTATGGTCATTAAGTGTTGTCCTTTATTTTTATAATAAAGGACATGTAAATTTCATTGAATTTATTTTTATGACTTTGTTTTTTTTTTTTTTATAAAAGATGAGCAATAATTATTTTTTAATAATATTTTTAATCTCACTAATTTTGTATTTTTTTCTTTATTTACTCATATATTAAATATAAATTGAAAATTAGATTTTAAGTTGTCCAACATCAAATTTTATATCTAAATTCAAGGTTTTATCACAATAATGACTTTTAGAAGTGGTATGTGTTAGCCTCAATTAATATATATAATTTTACATAATTGTAACATAATTATTATATAATGCTAACTTTTAATATTATATAATTTTACATAAGACTATTAGTACCCTTAAGAAAAAAAATCAAAGAAGATTTATTTAGTTCATGAAAAAAATTCTAAGCAATTATAAAATATAGACTTAAGTTTTGTTTGTGACAGCTTTTTTATTGCTTTGTAAAGAAACTTTTCAAAAAAAAAAGTTATACAAAAATTTGCTTTTAAAAACAGTAAAAAAGTTGTCTCAAATAAAACCTTAGGCTTCGTTTGGGATGGCTTTTTTACTGCTTCTTAAAGAACCTTTCTAGTATAAAAATTAAAATTTTTGCACTAGAAAACTGTTTTAAGAAACAGTAAAAAAGCCGTCCCAAACAAAGCCTTAAACAAACGAACTTTTATTACATCCAGTGAACGTACGCTCATCTATGTTCGGTTTTAGATCAAAACAGCGCAATACCGAGTTTTTTAAAAAAACTCGGTACAACTCGGTACTCGGCACTCTGTATTGCGCTTTTTTTTCCTAGATCCGAACGTAGAGGAGCGTACGTTCACTGGATAAAATAAAAGTTCTAAACAAACAGCTCTTTACATGGAGAGAAGAGAAGAAAAAAATATATCAAAAACAAAAGATTAAACTAACTATCATCATCCTTATCTTCTACGGACAGCATCTACTCAAAGAGAACAAAAAGATGAAGGAGCTAAATAATTGCCACAAGAGTAGAGCTCTGATTAGAAGTAACTGACTCCAAGGAAATAACTTTGGAACTCAGCTGCTTTATTGGCTCTCGAAGAACTTTACAATCTTATACTTTCAAGCTCAATCGGAGACCAATAACATGCAGGGAACTTTTTGCCCCTAGTTGATTTAAGGCTCATTTGGGATAGCTTTTGGCATCTATTTTTTGTTGTTTTTGAAAAAAAATTATAAGTAATAAGAAAACTGTCTCAAAGAAATCCTTAGCTGACTACGGCTAACGTAATTGGAGGCTTTGATGCTCACAACTCTCCGGTCAACAAATACGACAAGTTAAACCAGTACAGATTGACTGATTGAGTAGTCTGAATTTGATATCTTACTTCCTTAATGGAAACTTTTGAAGAAAGTAACATGATAATATGGGCCTTCACTTTCATCTCAAAAGTTAAGGAAAATCCTCCACTTTTGAAGGAGATGGTGAACTTTTAGCCCTCATCACATGCTCAATGATGATAGGACTTCTCTCAGCAGAGGTGGAACTAGTCTTTCCCTTTGGGTGGGGGTTGCAAAATTTTCATATAAATGGATAAAATGAAAAATAAAAATAAAATAAATACAGAATTCAAAACAAAATCTTATATTACATTGAAATAGATAAATTAAAAATTATTACAAGCTTATTAATCTATTTTGCATCTTTTGATAATGTTGCATTAAAATCATATTAGGAATCAAATCGAACGCATTTTTTTCAAGGTAAGGTGTCAGACAATCATTGAGTCAATCACCACTCATCCTACTACGCAATTGATGCTTGATAATCCTCATTGTAGAAAATATTTTTTACATTGTAGCAGTAAGAACTGATAAAGTTAATGCTAAAGTAATAAGTATGTAAACCAAATGATACACATGATCCTTCTTGTCCTTAACAATTTATTTTGCAAGATTAACAATATTATTTAGAGAGGAGAACTCGTCATCGGAATGCATATCATTGATATAAGTTGATAATTGACTTTTAAGAGCCACAAGGTTAACTATAGAAAAATCACGTTGATATAATTTTGTTATATGTATCAATTTCCTCTCATCATAAGCATTGAGTGAATCAGTTGGATTTAAGTATGTAACAAAGAATCAACTCAGTACTAGATTTAGAAAAAAGATTATTTAGCTATTGAAGTTGCATGTCAACCACATTGTATAATAGTTCAACATGATAATGATGTAGGTTTGAAATTTCTTCACCTCTACACATTGATCGATGATGAGTTTTATATATATCATTCATTTTTGGAACTTCAACTTCGAAAACCCTACAAAAATATGACATTTCATCTAGTAAAGCAGTTCATCCATAAAAATTCTATAAGGATGTTAAGCCTAAGTGAACTTGTCCCTAAGCACACCAAGAGGGGGGTGAATTGGTGAACTTAAAAAAAAAATTACTTACTTAAAAAAAAATAAATATAATATTTTTATTATTTTTTAGTTATTAAAAATAACAATTTTTACAATATGCAGAAGTGAATAATTTTATCAAATATCAAACAAACGATGATGATATTTTAATCAATAGAATGAAATATTAATCACTGATCTTCACCAAGCAGTTATCACAGAAATAACTTGCATAAAAAATAAAATGTGAAAGTAAAAATTCAGAATAAACACACTAGAGATTTATAGTGGTTCAATCAGACAATGACCCTCGAAGTCCTCCACTATGAGTAATACAGTATCAAAATATAGTGTTTCTTCTTTTACCCTCACAACAAGGTGGAGAAGCCCTTACACAACTCACTTCCACCGACCTAGTGCGATAGAGAACATGAAGCTTTTTCACCCTCCTTGTGACGACAGTGGACCTTCAATCTTTTTCTTCCTCTTAGAGAAGGCAGAGAATCCCAATCTCCTTTCTTACCCTCTTGGCGATGGCAAAGAACCACAAATTCCTTTCTCACCCTCCTAGTGATAGCAGAGAACCACGAACTCCTTTCTTACTCTCCTAATGATTGCAAAGAAAAACTTCCTTTAGTTGAAGAATTTCTTCATAGAGGCAAGACACTTGTTTGGAGCAACTGTGTGAACCCCTATTTTCTTCCCAAAGCACTCCTAAATCTATTTCTCAAAGCTCCCTCTCAAGAACACTTAGCAGCCAAACACTTGAAACAAGTTAATTCAGAGAGATACAAGGCCTCACAAAAAGTTCTAAATTCAATTATGATGAATCTGATCGTACAATTCGATCCAAGCTCATACAGTACGATTTGTTCAAACCACTCCTATTAGTACTGTATGACTTGTGAAGCATTTTACGATTAGTTTAATGTATTACATTAATCATCCAATATAATATGAAGGGTCGTCCAGTATAATTATTTGAGATGACTTGTTTTTTTATCCCGTACGATTGGCTCGGATAAATTATCGTCTCATGAAGGGATCTTGTCGTACAGTATGATTGACTCCAATCGTCCAATACGATATGATATAGCAAATTAATCAAAATTGTATTCATAATCACATGATTAATGTAGGCAATATTTAATGACATTGTAAAATATGATACCTATCTTATAGTACTATTATTTTAAATTTTGAATTTTAAAATATTACCTAAATTGTGATTAGCAACTAGGATCTTGATTTCAACTGATCATCCTGTATGATATGGATCATACATTATAATTAGTTCAAATAGCATTAATTATTATAATTAGCTATTTTAATAATTTTTTTATTAGCTGATCAAATAGTTTGATTAGTTCAGAAAATTATTCTTCTAATTTTCGTGCTATGTCACTCCCTTTAGTGTATGTGTACATGGTCACCAAGCTTAGTATCCACTAAATACATAATTTTGACTCAAGAAAAGTAGAAATAAAAAAGCAAAATTACAAACTCTTCTAAACATCTTAACCATATTCTACCCAGTCTTGAGATGATCAAATTTGCATAATGTACGGTGGGCCTGAAATATTAGTGCACAAGAAAAAAGCAGATATGCAACAATAACAATTACAAAAAAATAGCATAGTAAGGAAAACAATATTATTTATTATCATCAAAATCATAGTACTTTGATCTAGATTTGCAACACCTTCCCCAATAAATGAGTCTCCACCATCTTGGTCTTTCCTAATTTGTTCTTGGGGTTTGAATAGGTAGTAGTAAAGATAAAAAATAACATATTTTTATATGTTGTACTCCAATCAATCAGCATATTTTTCAAACCATTTAGGATTAAACTTGCTTACTATATTCCCAATTAATTTTTTGGGGAATTAATGATTTCTTGGTTAATAGGGTCCCTTCAAAAGATATCTTCTTTAAATTATGTCCCTATCATTCACATCGTAACTCCATATTAAAGGTTGGAGTCCAAGATCAACCGGCAGATCGGTCAATTTGATCTTTACACATTCTTTCCTCTTTAAATAATATTCCATCTA